CAGTTAAAAAATTTTTTCCCGATTTGCTGGAGTGGGGTTAAAATCGCGTTTTTTCATTAATCAGACGAAGCGATGCAACAAATAAAAGTAGTAAGTAATATTACCTAATGATTATAATTAAGTAATTTCTTGTCTTGATGTTATTATGGTCGCATTTATTCTAAAATCAATGTTATTCGAACTCTGTGTGACAGAGGAATGGCGGACGAAATAAACACATGGCCTCAGGAAGACACACATATGAAAAATCAAATTTTCAAGAATTATGGATAATGACAAGAAAAAAGCGAAACAAATGGTTGTAGCCATATTATCAAAGAATCAAACTAACACCATTTTCAATGCATTTTTCATCTCGTGAATGCTGTAGCTGCGCAGTTCTAACATGATTGATTTCCTCCTAATTAAAACAAAATAAACTTAATTATTTACTAATTTTGGTCTCTAACAGTAGGTAACTAGTGCATTAGCACTTTGAGTAACTTTGGGCTAGTTTAGACGAGTATTAAGCGCATTCTTGGTATTTCTTATTTCACACCAGACTGGATCCAATATGGCTTGTACATCCCCCTTAATTATTCCACGTCACCAGGTACTCTAACGACTTTCTGGTCGCCTAAATGCACATGTATGATTGGAGTCACCTGAAGAACAGAGAGACACTTTAGGGGTTGTTGCAACCACTATTGAAATACGACCACTTTTGAAATAATTATTTCAACAATGGTTGATTGTGCATTTCAATAACGAACATTGGTTGCAACCACTATTGAAAAACGACCTCTATTGAAATAATTATTTAAACAGTGATTGAAAGTGTATTTCAATAACGAACATTGGTTGCAACCGCTATTGAAATAATGTTCACTTTAAAATAAAGATTCAAAGATGCAAAGATTTCAAAAGTGATTAAAATATAGATTTCAAAACTGATTGAAATCTTGATTTCAATAGTGCTTTAAACAATGATTCCACAAGATATTAAAATAATTATTTTTATCGTTGCTGACAATGATTTCAATACCAACTAATGTTTTTATTTAAGTTTTCCTTTTTTGCAGAAATTTCCATTAATACACAGACACTTTTTATTAAACTAACCTACCTATAATTCAAACATGTATGCAAATGTTATGAGCAAGCCCCTGTTGAATCTGGCCGAATCGGCGAAAACCAACAGACAATCAATTAATAATAGCCAATTTTGAAATAATTTTGTTAAATATCCGGCGTCTGTCCACATCTATCAGGTCTTGTATCTCGGCCTTGTAAACTGCATGAAAAGTGTTGGCATTTGGTATTTTGGTCATGTATTGCTTGGTACTATGGCTTTTGTAAAAGAGACAGTCATGGTTACAGAACTCGTGACATTTCAACTTGAACTTAAACATACTTTTCAAAATATTTTGAATTACCGAAATGCAGCGTATTTTGTTAATTTTAGAGGCAAGTCTGTGCTATTTAGCATCTGCACTAATTGGCATAATACAGTGTACATGACAAAATACGAGCTTTACATTTCCCTTGGCCTCCCTTGGCCTGCACCTACTTTTAAAAATACTACACACGATTAATCAATTTCAGGTTGATTGATTGATTGTTTGTTGTTTTACATCTCATTCGAGAATTTTTCACTCGTGTAGATACGTCACCCTATACTGGTGAAGGGCTTCAAAATTTGACCTTTGCTCGGCACTCAGGGCCATTGAGCAGTGAGGGATCTTTATCGTACCAACGCCTGCCATGACATGGGACCTCGATTTTTCAGATCTCATCCGAAGGATTCGCAACTTTCACTTCAAGTGCCGAATGCATGGCGAAGGAACAGTTGCTTCCCTTTTTTATCAACTTAGGTCAGTCGCGGCCGAGATTCTAACTCATAATAGTTTATAACGTTAGTTTATATAAATAAAATACTATTTTCTTTTATTTCGAATACATGTACTTTCTTTTTTCATTAATTTTAGCTTTCAAGGTTGGGGAACTGGTGAGCAAAAGACACAAGTTACTCAAAACACTTTAGTTTTTTTTTTATTAGTTTCACATAAATTTACTAAACTTTGAAGTATATGAAATGGGCTTTTCCGTGGCCAACTATTCTTAAATTGGATTTTTTTTTATATATTCACCATCTAAAGATGAAATTAACATCAGAACAAAAAGGAAATCGATATTTTGATACCTAATAACACTCTAAAAGGGTTAAAATTGTGCCTACAACAACATTATCTTTTCGGCCGCTCTTGCAAACGCACCACCCTTTATTTGGGTAATCAGACTACTCGGGAACTGGGATACAAAACTGTATTTACCATTGCTGATAAGACATCATAAGAAAGGTTCAATGACATCAGATGCAGGTCAATGAAGCTATGAAAATAACGTCCTTCTTATGGGATATATCCCATAAGAAGGACGTTCCCTAAGGTCAAAATTGATGCCTGAGAAGACTACCCGGTGAGTCCTTGTGAAATTTTAACAGGCTATGTACATTCTAAATTTAGAGGTTGCATCATCAAGCTAACGCTGACGTGAGGATCACGTGACCTGGTGTACACAGTGGGATTTGTACGGAAGGTTCTATCCAGGAAATCCAAAGCATTTCATGTTCTTAGAACTGTGGATTTCCGACTTGTATTTTAAAGGACCAGACCCAAGACATTTACTAAGCAGTTCTTAATGCAATGCAAGGAGTGCTTGTGGAATTGGGGAAAATTGTTAAAAGGGGGTAAACCAGGTCTGTATTGGAGGTTGAAGATGTGGCATTGAATAATATAACTAATGCCAAACCTCCAAGTGCGTATGCCGAAAAAATCATTCATAAAAACGTGAGAACCTTTAGTTTATTTAAATACGGGACAAGGGATTGCCCTTACAACCCAAGGCTCCTTTAGGATATCAGAATTTTTCATTTGATTTAAAATGATATCGCTTTATACCCCAATAGGTAATGTTTGCCATTCAAATTATGTACGAGATAACAATTGCTACAAAGTTAAGACAAAACGTGGTACATACATTTACTCTTTACAAGAAGTACCGGGTATCAGTCTTACTGTACATAAATAGATGTACAGATATTGTCTTACTGTACATAAATAATTATAACACAGAGAATGTATCAGTAAATATAGCAAAACTGACTGCTAGTATAATTTTTATTACTTTCAACTCATCTAGTTGAGTTAAAAATACTACTAGACAGATGTAAATGAAATGGAAAATAATGAAATAGGTGTATATTTTTAATAAATTTATTTTTAAAAATGGACAAATTTCAGTTTAAAGAGCAAGAGCCATCTTATGCATAAAATGGCCCTGTACTTATATCAGTTAATTAATTATCACCCTCTTTCCCATTTCATATATTAAAATAAAGTAGACACTTTGTGCTTTCATTTTCTTTAATAAAATTTCGTTTTGAGAATCCGCATATTGGAAAACAGGCTTTGAGATATTGCAATGTTCTTGAAATTTGCATAAAACATGCGTATTTAACTACCTTCAGCAAAGAATTAAAATATGAGCACACCCCACGATCCAAAAAATAAAACATGTTTTTTGATCTTCAGAAACAGATCTTTCATTAAGTATTTGCATATTTTGGATCAGAGGTTGTGCTCTTTATGAAATATTGAAAAAATGCTTCAAGTTTAGGTCATTTTTAAAGGAATTACAGGAAATGAGGAAAATGACGCATTGTATGACGTCATAATGCATTGACAAGATGTAAAATTACGTCATGGTTAATAGATATGTGGTCACCAACACTCCAAGTGATAAATACTGCATTTGCAACCTAAACTAAGCCGTTTTGATTTTTCAGAAATTCTCAGGGCCAAATAAGGACCAAAGTGGCTCTTGCTCTTTTCCATCCAAAGTTTCACTATTATGCAGTGATATTATTTTTACATATTTTTAGTGTGTATAAAAGAAAAACAAATCCATGTTTTTCCTTATATGGATAAAACCTTACTGCTCAAATCTATATAATTTATAACATTTCTATAATTATTGATAAAATATCACAATATCCTTCAAATTCAGTTGAATTAATTAAATAGCAACAAGGAAAAAATAAACTCCTTTGTCAAATTGCCCCATTGCCCATCATGTATACCATTCTCAAGAAAAATACATACAAAATTTACTATGTGCCATGTACAAACTTTAAAGCAGTTGACCTCTGGTCAATAGATAAATATACATGTATTTTGATGGGTGAACTGATTCCATCATTCTGACCCCTCCTCAGAATCTCCAAAACGTCTTGTCACTTCATTTGTGAAAGTGGAACTGAGATTTGACTGCTTTCATATTTTGTGTGTATAGTTGTAATTTCTTGCAAAATTTTAATGCAAACTTTCAAGACACAAACTCATACTCTTTCTTAACCAAAAAAACATATACATATACACTGTACACACAAATACACTTGCATATCCATTTACACACAGGCAAAAAAAAATTACTTTGATTTTCATCATCAAAATAAATAAATTTTAACCTGTCCATAGACAAAATGTATCCAATAACCAACCAAGAAAATAAAACAAAAAAAATTATGAAAGACACTGAGTGGTGCGATTCTGTAGGCTACTTATGGAACCACCTCGGGGGATTTCCTCCTATTTTTACCCCAGACTTTGTTGTAGTTTGACTCCATGTTTGATTGTCGAACCTCTTCCTCTGCTGCCTCATGGTCCCCGCCCTAAAGTGACACAATTTTTTAAAATCATGATTTGATGATCAAAGGAATCTAAAATCTTTGTTTAAATTCAACTTTTGAATACTATCATCAGAATACAATAGTACAGTTTTGTCTAGTTTTAAGAATCAACATTCCCAAAACTTGAAATCTTTTTAAGCAATCAAATACAGACTATTTTTGTGTTTTATATGAAATTACTTAGCCTTATGCATTGAGTTTATCAGTAGACTAGATTTGCCAAACAAAAGGAGAATCTATAATAAGTTGATAAAATATTTCTGTAATTACCAGAATGGAGACAATCATATTTTTAAATGCACTGGTATCCTCTGCAGACAGTAGATGAACATCGTCTTTATCATCAACATAACCCGCAGTAATTATCTTCACCTGAATCTTTCCATCTAATACAGAAAAAAATAAAAATTATACCCGCACTTTCTAAAGAAAGTTCGGGTATATTGTTGTTACTCATGTCCGTCCGTCCGTCCGTCTGTCACACTTTTCTTCCCTAAACTCCTCTTACATTTTACACAGTAGGCTAATCATCTTTTGGGAGATGGTTGGTGGTGTCATGTAGATGTGCAGTAAGGTTTCAGAATTTTGATTTTGCCTTGGGGGGTCAAATGGGGGTCGAAAAATGACGTTTTTTATGCAAAAAGCCTCGTCTTCCCTGAACTCCTCTTACATTTTACACAGTAGGCTAATCATCTTTTGGGAGATGGTTGGTGGTGTCATGTAGATGTGCAGTAAGGTTTTGGAATTTTGATTTTGCCCCGGGGGGTCAAATGGGGAGTCGAAAAAATGACGTTTTTTATGCAAAAAGCCCCGTCTTCCCTGAACTCCTCTTACATTTTACACAGTAGGCTAATCATCTTTTGGGAGATGGTTGGTGGTGTCATGTAGATGTGCAGTAAGGTTTCGGAATTTTGATTTTGCCTTGGGGGGTCAAATGGGGGTCGAAAAATGACGTTTTTTTATGCAAAAAGCCTCGTCTTCC